GGATTCTGTAACGTGGGTGACCTGTGTCCTTTGTTCAGGACCTCAGGAAAACAGCTACAGCTCAGAGTAGACTCGGGTTTCTGATTACGATGAAAAACTCTGGCTGGGTTGGGAGCCCCGTGTCTCCCTTCAAACGGCCGCTTTTCTTGATTCGATAGCTCTGGGAGGCGAAAGGCCCAGTGTCAGCAAAACGGGACTTGTTTTCCGGTTTTGCAGAAATGTGGGTACCTGTCCCATCTGCCCTCGGCTCGAGCGCTGTACCTTCGGTGACCTTTTCTTGCAGAGGCTGTGGCTGTGCTCATTTTTTGCAGAGGCTGTGGCTCTCTGGACGCTCAGGGGGAGGAGGGCTCGCTGGCAGCCCCTGTGCACTGAGTCTCGGGTCCTCCCAAATCAGCTGGATTCCCAGGAAGGAGAACCCGAGACAGGAACTTGAGCACAGGCTGTTTGAAGATGATCTCAGCTGATTTCCGTATGTTGATTTTTTTTATCCTGAAACTTTACTGAATTTCTTTTTTAATTCTAATAGGTTTGTCTCGTGGAGTCTTTAGGGTTTTTCTCTACATATAAGATCACGTCATCCGCAAACAGAGGCGATTTACTTCTTCCTTTCCGACTGGGATGCTTTCATCCCATTTTCTCACCCAATGGCTCCAGCTAGGATTCCCAGGGCTCCGCTGAGAGTGGGGATCTTCGTCTCGTTCTGATCTTAGAGAAGTTTCGGCTTTTCACGACTGAGCGTGAGGTTAGCTGTGGGCTCGTCGTATGCGGCCTTTATTGTGTCAAGGTAGTTTCTATTCCAAATTTCTTGAGAGTTTTTATGAAGAAGAGGTCCTGAATTTTGTCAAACACCTTTTCCACGTTCATTGGGACAATCCTGAGCTTTTTATCCTTGGTTCTGTTCATTTGATGCACAGCACTGATTGATGTTTCTGATGAACTATTCTTGCATCTCAGAGATGACTCCCACTTGATCATGGTATATGACACTTTTAATGCGCTGCTGTGTTCAATTTACCAGGGTTTTGTTGAGGATTCGTGCATGTATATTTATCAAGGACGTTGCCTCTAGTCCCAGAAAAAAGTTTTCTCATAGTGTCTTATTCTAGCTTTGGCATCACGGTAATTGTGGGCTTATAAAAGAGTTTGGAAGTATTCTGTCTCCTTCGTCTTTTTGGAAAAGTTTGAGAAGGATTGGCGTTGAGTCTTTAAATGTCGGATAGAAGTCATGAATGAGCCATCTGGTCCCAGGCTTTTCCTTGCTGCGAGGTTTTTGATTACTGATTCAACCTCCTTAGTCATTATCGATCTGCTCAGATTTTCCATGTCTTCCTGATTCAGTCTGCAGGTTTTTTGGAATTTATCCATTCCTCCTAGGTTGTCCACTTTGTTGGTGTAAAATCATTCATAATAAACTCATGATGCTTTTCACTTCTGCGACATCAATAGTAATGTTTCCTCTTTCGTTTCTGGTTTCATCTGAGTCGTCTCTTTTTCTCTTAGTGTTTTTCTTAGGAAGTCTAGTGAAAATTTCGTCAATTTTGTTTATTTTTCCATAGCTTCATTAATTTTTCCCATTGTCCTTTCAATCCATTTAGTTCTACCCTAATGTTTATCATTTCCCTCCTTTTGCTAACTCTGGGCTTAATTTGTTCCTCTTTTCCTACTTCCTAGAGGTGGATTTGAGATCTTTTTAAATATAGGTATTTACTGTTATAAATGTCGTTCCTAGTATTGCTTTTGCTGCATCTCAAACATTTTGTCATATTCTGTTTTTGTTTTCATTTGTCTCAAAAAATTTACTACAATCCCTTTTGATATCTTCCTTGACCCACTGGTTGTTTAAGACCGTATTGATTAATTTCCTCACATTTGTGAATTTTTCCAGTATTCCATCTGCTGTTTATTTCTAGATGCATTTAATTACGATCAGAAAAGATACTATGCGCTCAATCGTCTTAAATTTGGTGACTTGTTTTATGACCTAATATGTGATCTGTCTTGGAGAATGTTCCATGCTCGCTTGAGGAAAATGTCTAGGGACTATTATCTTCACTGCGGCATTATTCACAATAGCCAAGAGGAAAAAAACAACTTAAATGTCCATCGATGGATGTGTGGATAAGAAAACGTGAGATATACTACAATGGAATATTATTCTGCCTTTAAAAAAAAATCTTACTACAGACAAGAACACAGAGGAACCTAGAGCTCAGGGAAATAAGCCAGACCAGAAGCATGAAGATTCGTGATTCCACTCATATGAGGAGGAATCTAAAGCAGCCCAACTCGGAGACAGAGAGCAGAATGCGGCTGCCAGAGGCCCGGGAGCCGGCGGGGGGCGGGGCATTGCTGTTCGGAGGGCGTGGACTTTGAATAAACCCTAGAGATCCGCTGTCCAGTGCTGCAGTGACCGACTCTGTATCGTGCACTGTCGATTTTGTGAAGAGGGTAGATCTCGTGTTACCTGTTCTCACCATGGTAAAAAAAAAATAATTCACTGATTTGCCTTCGTGAAACAATGAGGATGGTGCCAGGAGGAGGGAGCTGCGGCAGGTGGCGGGTGTGTGACTGAGCTGGCTATGGGCGCGGCCCCTGGGGCCCCCGCTCGCGAGGACTCCCGGACCGCGTAGAGCACACGCAGAGAAGTGCCAGTTCGCTCGTAAGGGACGCATTTCCTGCCTAGACCGACGCCGACTTGCCCTTGCTCGCCGGCCCTCCCTCTGCAGTTGGACGATGGGGGCGCAGAGCTCACCCGGCCACCCCTCCAACGCAGCCGCCACTCAGCGGAGGCCCAGGGCCAGCGTCGCTGTGTCTGGGCTCCCACGTCAGGGAACCAGAGAGCGTGAGAATCCCTGGCTCGATTCCCCCATTCACCACCTTAGAGACGATTCACACCCCATTTCTCCCAATGTCTTTTCCCCTTGGGGTGCTACGGCCATGCGGGGAGTAATAACACGCGACAAACGTTCCCCAGCTCCCCTCGCGGGATCCCTCCAGACCTAACTCACGCACAGCCGAGCCCCGGGTCCTAGAGGCCCTCCACCCTCTCCCCCAGCTGCTCCGTCTTTAGGAGACTCCAGGGTAGGGTCCCGAGGAGGGACATGGAACATAGTCAGCGTCTTGAAATAAATCATTTCGATCCCTTTCCGTGTCTTTTCCTCCCCCCTCCCCCAGCTCCTCTGGGGTTGGAGGAAAACACGAGTCAAGATGCACGATTCCTGTCTTCCTCTCTCTCCCCCTGCAAACGCGAGCGTGAGCAGAATCACGCATTCCGCGTGTGAGGGGAGGTCGGGGGGAGGGGCTCGCAGGCCGAGTCGGGGCCTCCCAAGAATGGCTTCTTCCTTCCAGCTGCACGAGAGAAGCGAGCCTCATTAGGGACCCAGCTGGGACTTCCAGGGTCCAAGTTCTGGGCTTACGGCTGAATCAGCTAGACGTGGGGCCAAATCAGCTGCCTGGGGTGGACTGTTCCCTGGGAGGAAGGTCGCCCAGCCACTCCCGCCCCCAGGACCCAGGACAGCTGCCTCGGACAGGCTGCGAGCTCACCCGCATCGGAGGCAGCATGGAAGCGAGCGCGTCTTGACCAAACGTAGCTAAGCGAGCAGGCTTCGGCGCCCACCTCTGGCTCTGGTCCACTCTACCTCTTTAAGCCGGGCGTCACCGGCCGGCTGCAGGGCAGCATGGCCGGCCCAGGGCAGGGAGGCTGTGGTCATCGGGTGGCGGCGATGGGAGGGAGATGTGGTCAGCAACGTCACCACCCGGCCCCTCCCCAAGCTCGTGGCCCAGGGGACCCGACCTGCCTGCCAAGCGATCATGCGATGCGTGAGTCATGAAAGGAGCCACCGGCTTATCCGACATTCACGCGGGAGACGGAGGGAAAGACGCGCCTTCGGTCTTCACTGTTTAAGGGGATGCTGGAGGCCAACGCGACGCCCTTAAACCGGTGACTGGGGAAGTACAGTGCCGCACGTCCAGACGGCGGAGTATTAGGATGCGGCGGTAAAAAGATATAAAAAGACGTGGAGGAAATGTGGGTGCATCCTGCTGGGTGAAAAAGCCAGTCTGCACCGGCTCCGCCGGCGACCGCAACCATGTGACGTTGCAGACAAGGCAACGCCGTGGAGATAGGTAAGAGGTCAGTGGTCGCCAGGCTTTGGGTGCAGGCGGAGAGCGGTGAGGGGTGAGTGGGCGGGGCGCAGGGGACCTTTCGGGCAGTGGAAGTAGTCCATGTGACACTGTGCTGGTGGACACATGGGTCCAAACCCGTGGGAGCACACAACACAAAGAGCGGACCCTAATGTCAATTGTGGGCTTTAGTTGGTAATAATGTATCAACATCGGTTTGTTGATTGTAACAAATGTAGCAAGCCCTTAGTGACGGGGGCGCTGTGCGCATGCGCGGGAGGCGGGGGCGCGGGTACACAGGAACTCTGCGTACTTTCTGCTCAATTGGTCTGCAAACCTAAAACTGCTCTAAAATATAAAGTCTCTTAATTTTTTTCAAAGTGGGAAATAAACTACCCGGGGCATCTGCCATCCACAGCAAACAGAGACTAGAGACGCTGCAGATTTGGGGAGAAAGCTGAGTGCGCCCCCTGAGCAGCTGGCGTCAGCCTGAACCAGCGGACAACGCATCCGCCAGATCCCCGGCCCCCAAATGCAGGTGTCCCGGGGAGACAGCGGTACCTGCTCTTCAACCCCAGAGCCCAGGGTTAGCGTCTTCACCTGTAAACTGAGGGTGAGGCTGCAGGTCCCACTGGCGCTGCAGGGGTTCGGGAGACGAGGGGAGACACCAGGTGCAGGGGCTCGAGGCGTCGCGACCCAGCACGGCTCACTGCCTTCCGCCTCCTTCCCTGGTGTCGGGGTTCCAGGCCTAACCTTCCCACGGGACTGCGATCGGTGGGGACAAGGGCTGTGTCTCGTGTCGCCAGCTGCAACAGAATGCAGCACCTGCGCACAGCAGAGCCCTGGATGAATCGATGAACTTGGAGCAGCCGTCAGGGATGGGGGAAGCGGCGGGGCTGGCCGGGGCACGATTTCTGAGCCTTCGCGGGTCTGTGCGCGCCAGCCCGAGCCTGCCAGCCAGACACCGGTTGGGCGATGGAACAGGCAGTCCTCATCTGTGGTCCTGGGGGGCACTCGGAGAGTCGCTCCAGGCCCCCCGTTTCTCTCCTGGGTTTCGGATACTCCGGAAGAAGCACTGTGCATTAAGGCTGGGGAGGACCCTCGGGCTGTCAGCAGACATCGCGCGAGCAGGTGACCAAGGGCTTGCTTCTCGAGGATGGGACACGTGTCTCTGGTCCCCACACTTGGCAGCAAGATGTGCTTAGGCCTCCAGTCCACCTGAGCAGAATGGAGGGGTGCTCCTCGCTCCCGGGGAATCCAGCCACCTCCACAGGCAGCCTGGGCTTGTGTTCCGGGGAACGCGATCAGCGGTAAACCCCAAAAGTTCCATAATAAAACCAGGTTAAACATGACTTAAGAGGAGCCGACCAGCGACTCCATGGACAAAAGCCGCCCGCCCGGGCCGCGGAGTGGCCGCCGCCGGCAGGAAGTCTCACGATCCCAGCAGATGTTTGAACTTGTAAAGTCCATTTTCCGCTTCCTCTCCATTTTCTCCGTCTCTCATGTTTTATTGCCGCTGTCGGCTCAGATTTCCTACGTCTCCCCCGTTCTCTTCCTCCCTTTAAATCCAACGTCCTCCAGTTCCCTGCGCAGCCGGCCCCCTCTCCTCGGATGTTGGTTTTTCTCGTCCTCCTTGCACACCCCTCCCCCACCCCGGGCCCCTGTCCTCGGCGTTGGAGCTGAACCAGCCTCCTGGGGCTTGGATTCCTATTCCTGTGCCCTGAGTTTACGAGAAAAGAGAAGAAAACACCACCAGCGAGCGTTCCTTCCTACCAGGGCGGGACGGGGGTTCCGGCAGGTGCTGCATCGCGTCCCCCTCCCCCACCCAGTCCTCCACGGTTCGGTCTCAGGTGACGGGACCCCCCCCCACCCTCTCCTCCAGGCTCTCGCCATTCAGGTGACGCTGAGCGTGAGCAGGCTCTGTCCCCGTGCTGGAAGAGGGTGAGGCCCCTGCCCCACTGCAGACATGGACACGGACAGGGACAGGGACAGGGACACGGACACAGAAGCAGATAGGGACATGGACAGGGACACGCGAGCCCGGTCAGAGGGCCCGGGCGGAGGCCCCTGGCGGAGCGGGAGGCGGCAGCCTCGCCAGGGCCTCACCGGCCCCTCTGAACCAGAGCCCCAGCGCCGATTAGCAGCAGCCAGCCATGCAAAGGCCTGGGGTCAGAATGTTCCAGACAGCCAGCGCCGGGCCCCGGATGCAGGGCCCAGTTCTGGGAAGCGGGGTGAGGACAGGCGTCGGGCAGCGTGGGTCCTTGGGGGTCCCGGGGAGGGCGTCTGCCAGGGCTGGAGGGGGGCCGTGGCGCGGGGCTCCCTGGCTCAGGTTTCAGGGGCCCCACGTGGGGCTCGGTTTGCAGAGCGAGCAGGAGGGGGAGCGAGGGACCCAGAAGCCAGAGGACAGGGGCGCAGGTCGCCCGCCTGAAGGAAGGTGGGTGGACGTGTGATGCACTCTGGGGGAAGAACCAGCAACAACAACAAGAAAAGAAAGTCATGAAAAAAATCGATTTCTGCTCGGCCGATGGGATGGCGACGTGGGCGCCCAAGGCGGGCGCGGCAGCTCCAGACCTCGCCGCGAGGTCCGCGGGCAGCGCAGGGCTGTGTTCTCGGGACAGGGGGCTGTGACGGGCTGCTATGACTCCCCCGCGAACATTTACTGTCACCCCCGCAGCAACCGAGGTCACCTCGACCTCCTTTTCTCCCTCTGTCAAGCTGCTTCTAAGAAGCAGCGAACGACAAGTCGGTCACCGTGCAAGGTCGCAAGCCAGGGCTCTGCAGCCGGCACCCCCGTGACATGCCCCCTGCTTTCTCCACTGAGCTCCCCCTTCCCAGCAGCAGACAGGAGACAAAGGAGCAGAGTGCCAGCACAGAATGACAGCCCTGGGCCCCGAGACGGCCCTCCCCCATCCTCCTTCTCCAGGGGCCCCGGGCCTGGCATCTTAGTGCCCGAGCTGTTCTGATTCTTTCTCCTTTGGCACGAGCTGCATCTCCTGCTCTCCAGAAGCTTCCTGAGAGCCGAAGTCCCTCCGCCACCCTCCAAGGCACAGGGGAGCCCTGGCACCCAGAAAACCGGACCCGTCAGAACCCGGTCCTTCCTCAAAACAGCAAACGTGACCGGCTTCCTTAGGGCACCAGCATGGTGAGGGTGTGGGTCTGGGTTCGGGCAGCCTCGGTTTCTTCTTCCTTGTGGTGGGGGAGGGGAGGTGCTGCCACGGGAGCCATCGCAGTGGGGGGTCGTGCCTGAGCGGGAGGCGGCTGGGAAAGGGAGAAGCTGGCGTGAAGCTGGGAGGGGCCTTTGCACCTTTCTTCCCAGGGTGTCCTGCCTGGAGAGCACAGAGAACGTCTCCTAGTGGAAGTCACACTGCCCGGTGCAGAGTCACAGCCCGCCACACAGCGGCCCGTGACCCGAACAGCCAAGCGCACGCCTCCAGGCCGGACGGCTGTGTGTGGGAGGTGGCGACACCACCTCCTTTGCAGATGAGGGGTACGCAAGATAGTGACTCAGAACCCGTCAGTGCAGGGCCTGGCACCCACGGAACATCGGTCACTGTGAAAGGAGCCCATGATCTTGGTGAAAAGGAAAACAGTGAGCGTAAGGGCCAGTCCGTCCTGCTGCCCGTGTCAGTCCCGTCCGTGGCACTGGACTGGAAGGCGGAGAGTGCCTTGTGCTGCCTCTGCCTCTGCCTCTGCTTCTCTCTCTCTCTCTCTCTTTCTCTCTCTCTCTCTCCCCCTCTGTCTCTCTCTCTCTCCCTCTGTCTCTCTGTCTCTCTCCCTCTCTCTCTCTCTCCCTCCCTCTGTCTCCCTCTTGGTCTTTTCTTTAAAACGGCGTGTCCCCGTCCCGTGCAGGGAGGTTTGCTTGAGCTGAGTGGCAGCCGGTTTCGTCTCTTTCCGCATTGCCCCGACTATCT